GGAGAAGTGGTGCCTCGATGCGCACCCGGGATCCGAACCCGGGCCACCAGCATCACAGCACGCGCACTTAACCACCAAGCCACAGGGCCGGCCCCAAAGAATTCTTGAGTGAATATTAAAATATTGTCCTGAAGGAGTTACTATTTACAAACTTAACATTCATTCACGTTGTGTGGATGAAGCACTTTCATTTCCAATTTAGCAAACATTTGAGTTTTTACAGTGTCCCAATTACTGGGGACACAGAGGTGAATAAAACATGATCCCTACTTTCAAAATTGCTTATCCCTTCTAGTAGAGAAGACAGAACAAAGGAAGTGAGCAAAAAAGTTTGGACACAGGTGTAAAAGTAGCCAAACTCAGAGTACAAAACTGATGTAAAGGGTGTGACAAGTCTTTTTATGTTCTTTCCCAGGAACATGATTTACAGTATCTATCAGATGTAGTAGGAGGTATGCCAAGAAAACTATGCAAATCAGAGTGTTCGCTAGGTGCAGGGCACAATGCGTTTGGATAAGATGTCAAGTGCGTAAGCTGTACAGGATATCAGGTAGTATCAGTCAAGGAAGCTGGGCAGGTTTTGAGGGATTAGGGAGGACAGAGTTCAGCAGGAAGTAATAGAAAAGAGGTTTCAAGCCTGGAGCCCTGCCTTTCCAAAAAAAAAAGAGAAAGGAAGAAAGAGCCTAGAGCCCTAAGAGTCTGGCCTTGTCCTTTGCTTCCCCTTGTGTAATCTACTCATTTCCTGTAATCTCTTGTAACTGTTAATCACTCCTGTTGAAAAGAAGGCTCTTGCTCTTATCAAGCCTCTGGTGACAGCAGCTGCATTTGTAATATTGACATTAATTTCAGCATGTTTCCTCTGCAGCCCTTCTGGCTGCACATTCTGGGGAAAGAAGCCATGGAGCCGTAAGAAGAAAATTCTTTGGCAGCTGGGCACATTGATTGGTGCTCCAGTGGGGATTTCCCTCATTGCTGGCATTGCCATTCCTGCCATGGTCATCGGCATTCCTGTTTATGTTGGCAGGAAGGTAAGACATGCTGAGTTCTGTGCATGTTCCATCTTCAGGTTTATTGGTAAAGGTTTGAAGGAAATGGGGAGGAGCTTATGTTTCAGAGCTGCCTGAAAACCAGCTGGTTCATAGATAAAAATAACTTTAATTTTTTAAATGGATTTTCGTAAACCCCCAAGAGATCTGAAAGTTCTTATTAACATCCTGGGCCTAGTTTGTCTCAGTGACTTAAAGGTGAAATGCTTAGTTCACTCCCCTGAGTTATTTTTTCTCTTCTTGGATTAACTTTTTCTGTATTAGTTTATATTGTTCTGGTCTGAGTTAGGTTAAAATTTGAGAAAGATGCCTCTTTGGGGTGGGGAATATATTTTAATATAGATGACTTATAAAGGAATGTTCACTTGTCCTTTTTATCCCTGGTGAAAAGATTGATGTCCTAACCTGCTCACCTGCATTTTCTTTCTTATTCTTAGATTCACAGCAGGTATGAGGGAAGGAAAACCTCCAAACATAAGAGGAATTTGGCTATCACGGGAGGAGTGACTTTGTCAGTTATTGCGTCCCCAGTCATCGCTGCAGTTAGTGTTGGTAAGCTAACCAGGACTGCGACTCTCCTCACTCCCCCCACCCCCACCTCCCTTCTGTCTGTCTCTCTCTCTCTGCCCCCTCTGTCTGTCTGTCTGTCTGTCTCTCTCCTCTGCTCCCCTCATCAGCTTTCTGACTATAGCAGTTTAGCCACCTGGCCAAATGTTTCACCCTGGAGGCTCCTATATTTTATGCCAAACCCACTTCAGGAGTTAACTGTATTAGGCACTATTGTTATGATTATCAGCCACACTAAGTTATCAGAGTTGGGGGTCTTTCCTTCTTAAATTAGTGCCTAGAACTCCACCTGACACCTACAAAAGGTTGAATTAAAGAATATTACTTTAAGGCCTGGTTTTTCACCTTTCATCTTCCTTCTTCTCCACTTGCCGTGGAACCCAGAGAACAAAATTAGTTTTATTTTGATTTGCTTAATGCCTCACAGTATTTTGGGAGACATGAGGGTTTGTTTTAGAATAATAATAATATAACTAACATTTATTGAGGTTTTTCCATGTGCCAGGAGCAGTTCTGAGTTTTTTGCATGTGTTAATTCATTTAATCCTCACAGCAGCACAATTATAACAGAAGGGTGCATTAATTTGCCCAAGGTCACTTAGCTGGGACATGAATCCAGGCAATCTGACTTCAGAGCTTGTGCTCTTAACAACTAAGCCATTCTGCCTTACACAGCAGTAAGGTTTTGGAATTAACACTCTGGGAGGGGGATCCTAAATCCCAGGACTCACTTATTCAATGGTTTTTTTTTTTTTTTTTTTTTTTTTTTTTGTGAGGAAGATCAGCCCTGAGCAGCTAACATCCATGCTAATCCTCCTCCTCCTGCTAAGGAAGACCGGCTCTGAGCCAACATCTATTGCCAATCCTCCTCCCCCTTTTTCCCCAAAGCCCCAGCAAATAGTTGCATGTCACAGTTACACATCCCTCCAGTTGCTGTATGTGGGACGCGGCCTCAGCATGGCTGGAGAAGCGGTGCGTCGGTGCTCGCCCGGGATCCGAACCCGGGCCGCCAGCAGCGGAGCGCGAGCACTTAACCGCTAAGCCACGGGGCCAGCCCTATTCAATGTTTGATTAGTGATTGGTTCTTGGATTAGCACTTCAGCAGTGAATAGATGGGGAAAATGAAAGCAACATATATTTACTGTGCTGGGCACTATATGTGCATTCTCTTTTGATCATTGACAACCCTGGGAAGATATGTCCAAAGTCATACAGCTAGTAAATTGGAGCCAGGATTCTAATCCAGGCCTTTCTGATTCCAAGTTCAGCCATCATTCTGTTATACCAGGCTGCCTCTTTGGGACAGCTGTCTTTTGTCATACCTTGGTCGTTTGTAAAGTGGTTTGTCTGTGCTCAGGCTAGGAAAGAAAATTCAGGGCAGTTGCAACCTGATGGCCTGCTGACATGTTTCCTTCTCTTCCCCCAGGTATTGGCGTCCCCATTATGCTGGCATATGTCTATGGGGTTGTACCCATTTCTCTCTGTCGCGGAGGCGGCTGTGGAGTTAGCACGGCCAACGGAAAGGGAGTGAAAATTGAGTTTGATGAAGATGATGGTCCAATCACAGGTAAAAGGAGGATTTTTAATTTCCCTTTGAATTTATGGGACACAAGATAAAAATCAGTAAAATTCAGCACATTTTACAAAGAGATTGTCATTGAATTGCTTTAGATAATGAGCTTTGTAGGGGGCAGAGTATTTTTAGCTTTTCATTTCTTTGTTCCAGTTATTAGGTGAATTCCTCTGGTACTTGCCTCTGTGTGGCAGGTACAAACTAGTAGGATTCCAGTAACTCTAAGTATGCTGATAATAGTAGCGAGTATAATAAAGTCTTATATCTGCACAGTACTTTATAATTTTCAGAGGACTTTGCACAGTTATTATCTCACTTGGTTTTTACAACAGCTCTCTGGAGAGAGAGGACGTAGGCTAAAATTATCTCCATTTAATGGGAACTTCTTTTAAGCCTTTGTCTCAACATCTGTTAAATGGGTTTAAGAGCATCTGCAGAGCTAGAACTAGAGCAGGTCTTCTGACTTCTACTTTGATGTTGTTTCCACTTCGCCATATTAACTAACCTGGAGCACAGAGATCCCCAAAGGTTTTTCAAGCTTCCTACTAGAATCCGCATGTGGCCTAAACATATTTTGAAATCTTCATGTTTGATCAGATGGCATCTATGGTGTCGTGGAAAGAATAGTGGGCATGGAATCAGAATTGTACTTTTGTGTGACTAGCCATGACCTTGGACAAGTCATTTAGTTCTAGGCTTTCATTTCCTCATCTAAAATTAGGGCTATTAGTGCCTAGTTTGGGGGAAGATTAAATATTAGCATATGTTAAAATACCTGGTGTGTGGTGGTTGCATATAGTAGCCGTTCATTAAGTGAATAAATGAGTATTTTTCTACATGAATATTCTCCACTCTGAAGAGTCATTGCAGGAAAATGCCAGACTCTGTTTTGATGCTATGCTATCTTGAATTGAGATGTTTGGTTCCATCCCCAGTGGCAGATGCCTGGCGAGCCCTCAAAAATCCCAGCATTGGGGAAAGCAGCATTGAAGGTCTGACTAGTGTATTGAGCACCAGTGGAAGCCCTACAGATGGACTCAGTGTTATGCAGGGTCCATACAGCGAAACAGCCAGCTTTGCAGCCCTCTCAGGGGGCACACTGAGTGGTGGCATTCTTTCCAGTGGCAAGGGAAAATACAGCAGGTAAGCAAATAGACAATTTCTGACAGAACCAGTTGGAATTGTAAGAAGTAACATACCTGTATTGAGTCATTTCTCTGTGCCAGGCATGCCCCGTATATCATCTCATTTTCATTTAATCATCAGTGGTATTTTTTTTTTACAATTAGAAAACTGGCTCAGAAAGGTTAAGTGACACAAAGTTCAATGTTCTTTCCATTGCACCTCCATATGAAGAATGACCTTGACTTCAGATCCTCCCTCTACTACATTAGGCTGTCTGCTTCAGGAAGAAAAGCACTCATTTTTGTAGAATTCCCAAGGCTGTGCTCTCCATTAGGCTTGTCACTGGCTTTTAGTTGAACGGCGTTTATGCTGTATTTTGTTGGCTTATGCTGTATTTTGTTGGTGCTGTGATCCTTGTTACATTCCTATTCCCGTTTTATAGATAAGGAAAATCAATTCTATGGACTTATGTTGAGAATATGTAAAGCTTTATGACCAAAAACGTTGTGACTTGCATAGTCATTTCACCATTAGACAAACCAGAACATCTTCAAAGGAGCCTAACAGATGTTACATGAAAAGCAGTTAGTTGAGTGCATTGGAGAAGAAAGGCCTGAGGGGGTAGGGGGAGGAATAAAGGTGGGACAAAACAAGGTAAGGGAGGTAGGAGAGATGGTTGCCTTTAGATATCTGAAGGGCCTTGAACTGGAAAACAGGATTAGACTTCTGATGCATGCCAAGAGGTAGATTAAGACGACTTGGCAGAAGCTATAGGGAGACTAATTTTGTTTCTTTATAGAGAATATAGGGAAAATCTATATAAAAGTCCAAAGAAGGAATAGATTACCTTTGTAGATACTGAGCTGCCTATCCCTGGAAGTGTTTAAAGTGAGACCAGATGGCCATTTGGCTATTAGAGGGAGTCAAGCAACAGATGGCAGCTGGAGTGGATCCGACACCTGAGTGCCTGTCAGTCACCTAGGAGACTCTTAAAAATAGATTTCAGGGCCCTATCACAGATTAATAAATTAGAATCTCCTGGAGTGAGACCTAAGGATCGGTGTTTTGAAAAGGCTCCCCAGGTGGTTCAGACTAGCATGTGGGAACCACCTAAGTAGATGGCCCTTGTGAAGGCCTCTTCCAATTCTGAGAGTGATTCTGTGGCAGAGCTGAAACTAGAGCTCAGGTCTTTGACTTGATGCACTTGCCATTGCACTACCTCATTTTCCTGGACCGTGTCACGTTCCTGAGGGACATCTGAGGCTGGCGCAGCAAAGCAAAGACACAGGCAGAGGGATGGAGGTTGCTTGAATGTGCAGCTGCAGGCTGATGCTGACCTGTCTGCATCTCATGACTAGAGTTGTCTCTTGTTAGGGGATCCCGCCCCCACGTGCCAGAGAATTCACTGTTGTGCTTTCTTAAAACCAACACCCCTGTAAATAAGCAGACATAACTGGAGACTGACTTGCTGAAACTGCAGCTTAGCCAGTCCAGCTGTTCCAGTTCTGTGAAAGCCTTTTATAGGAAGTGAATGAGTCAGACGGGTTTGACTGTGAAACTCATTATGAGGAAATACTTAGTGTGCAACAAAATGGTGTTGGAGCCAAGAAAGGAAATAGTTATGGGTTCTCAGCTCTGAGACACCACTGGGAAAGTTTGCTGCTCTTGGAGGAGGTTGGCTCCTGTATGTCCTTCAATCGCATAGCCTGGGGGTAATTTGATTGCTAAATGTTTGAGTTCCTAGTATGTGTAAGACACAGAGGGTAAAGTGTGAATGAGATGTGGTCTCTCCTTTCCAGCTCACAGATGAGTGGGAGAGAGATACATAAATTGATATAATGAATAGATAGGTGCTGTGGGAGCACTTAGCAGGAAGTGACTGGTTTGCTGGGAGAGTGAGGGGAGATGATACTTGTTTTGTTCTTAAGCACTGGTATGAGTTTGTCACATAGAGAAAGGAAACTTTCAGAGAGAGGGAATAGCATGTACAAAGTCATGGAGGTATAAAATGTGTATAGGTGTGTGAGGAAAGAAAAAATTCATAGTGATTATGATTTTAGGACCTATGGTGAGAGATGGAACTGGAAAGAGAGCTTGGAGGCAGATCAGGAAAACCTTAAATGCCTGCTGGCAATAGGGAGCCAGGAGAGGACTGTTGGAGTGATTGGATCTTTGTCCACATTGTCACTGATCTGGAAGTGGTTTGACTTGGACTGAGGGCTCCTGGAGAAAGAGCCCAGTTGCAGTTATGCAGGCAGGAGATGTGGAGGGCCTGAAGTTGAGCAGAAGCAGTGGGGATAGACAGGAGGGGACGATTTCAGTAGATATTTAAGAGAGAAAATGTGTGAGCATCTATTCGACAATTGGAGACGATCAGATCAACTCAATTTGCAAGAGAATAATGGAAGAGATCTGTGCCAGGAAGCAGACTGTCTCGGAATACCCAGGTCTCATATTAACTTGAACGTCCCCTCTTTACACAGGTTAGAAGTCCAAGCCGATGTCCAAAAGGAAATTTTCCCTAAAGACACAGCCAGTCTTGGTGCAATTAGTGACAACGCAAGCACTCGTGCTATGGCCGGTTCCATAATCAGTTCCTACAACCCACAGGACAGGTATGTGAACAGTCAGATGCCCAGGAGAGGTTGCATTTTTGGTTGGGTACTAGGCCTTCAGAAGCTCACAGCCTCATGTTAGGGCTCTGTGTACCATCTAGTGGGGTCTGCGGTGTGCGTACCCTGTGATTTCATTGAGCAAGTTCTTGGTATGGGAGTTTTTGGCATCTCTTGATTCTTCTTGTTAGCACTTGATTTTCAGAGGTTTTTTTCTTTCTTTCTTTTTTCCTTTTTTTTTTTTTTTTGTCTTTTCTTGGCTGTTGCAACGGTAATTATTCACATGGAACTTAAAGAGTTTGGTTGGTGTTCATTGATGTCTGTGGTCTATGGTTCCCGCTCTCATGTGGCTCCTGTAGGCTATTTCTCTTTGTTTCTGAGAAGCTAGTGTATCTGCTGTGGTGTGATTGCAGCGCTCCCTACTGGAGAGATTCTCATTTCTTCTCATTGTGGCGTAGTAGTAAAAAGCTACGCATCTTCTTTCACTCTCATATTTTGAGTAAGATACTGTAAGGCTCTGACCCTTAGTTGAATTTTGGAAGCTCTTTTTTAGTTGTTTAAAGAAATTGGCAAAGATATGTGTGTGTGTGTTTTAAGTCAACAAAAAGGATCTAATTGTTCTTCTCCATCTTATTTTAATGTTAGGTTAAATTTTTATTTTTGTTAAAAGTGAGCTCTAGTCTACTTTTTACCTATGTTTTTGGACTTTCTAATTCTGAACCCACAAACTGCTTTTACCAACAGGTATAGCATGACCCATACATGACTCAGCAAAGTGGATTTTGTCTCCACAGAGAATGCAACAATATGGAAATACAAGTGGACATTGAAGCCAAACCAAGCCACTATCAGCTGGTGAGTGGAAGCAGCACGGAGGACTCACTCCATGTTCATGCTCAGATGGCAGAGAATGAAGAAGAAGGTGGTGGTGGTGGTGGTGGTGGCAGCAATGAAGAGGATCCCCGCTGCAAACACCAAAGCTGTGAACAGAAAGACTGCCTGGCCAGCAAACCTTGGGACATCAGCCTGGCCCAGCCCGAGAGCATCCGCAGTGACCTGGAGAGCTCCGATACACAGTCAGATGATGTGCCAGACATCACCTCAGATGAGTGTGGCTCCCCTCGCTCCCATACTGCAGCCTGCCCCTCGACTCCTAGAGCCCAAGGTGCACCAAGCCCAAGTGCCCATATGAACCTCTCTGCCCCAGCTGAGGGGAAGACTGTCTTGAAGCCAGAAGGTGCAGAAGTCAGAGTATGAAGTGGAATGAATGCTCCTGTTCTGAGAAGCACACTTGTAACTGCATCTTTTGGAATCTTTTGGGGGGAGGGGTGGGGATTTATGTATTTTATTTCAAAGATTCTCTGGTCACAGGTTTTCCCCAGGGAAATTCTGAGAAATTTGCAATTTCTTACCAGATAAAACATGGAAATTTTGCCCTTAGTCCCACCCCAGCTCCTCCCTTTTTTAGTTTTAATTTATTGGTTAAACTGATGGTGGCAATCCGTGAGGTCTGTCAAAGAGTGTACAGATGTATGTGTGTATATTGTATGTATGCTAACATTACTGAAGGACACATTTTAATAAAGATTTCTGTCGTAATTCAACTCATCTCATTTTCCTCAGCTTGGATAGTCCTATGGAGCCAAGTGTTTGATTGAAACAGACCCACTATGTCTTTAACAGTCTCTAGATCTGAGTTTTCCTAACCCCAGGAAAGAAGGATTGTATTCTAATCAGACTGCAGTGGAGTCATTTATAAACCCATGACTCCTAGCATGACAGGAAGCAAAGCTAGGCTTGTTTTGGACTATGTAGTCAGACTGAAGGATTAGCTGAGTCAGCCAGATAGTGAAGCTGTAGATAAAAATGAACCTTGTTTGCCCTCTAGAGGCAGCTGGGCAGTTTTCCTGTTAAAGCTTTATTTACCCTTTTCTGCATTATAGTCACTTATTAGAAATATGCTTCAGGCGAGGGAAGGGGTGGCAGTTCCAGTGGCTCTTCAGAGATCCCAGTGAATGTTGTAGGTTTACAACTTGGGGAACAGAGTATTCTTACTGAGGAAGAAATGTGCTTGATTCTGCACAAACACCAAGCAATGACCTAGATGTTTGTTATGCTCTCAGGTTCACATGCCCTGTTCTGAAAAGCTTTCTCAGTTTTGCCAGTCTAGTTTAAATAAGAGAGGCTAAGGAATCTGACTAAAATTTGTAGTAAGAGGAGAGACGAGACATGCTATCAAAATCTCAACATATTTAATTTTTTCTGGTCTTATAAATTCATCAGAATTGAGCTTAGTACCACTTGGGATTTTGTCTGTCTAGAATAATGGCATTAAGAAATGAAAGCTCATACATGGTATAGCAGAAAAGTTAAAAGATGCATGAGACTTTATGTAAGATTCCAAATCTGGCAGTAACTTACTTTGTGACTGTGTGAGTCAGTTACTCTCCCATGCCCCTAATTTCCCCAACTCTCAGACAGTATTGAAAGAGCTTCCAGTGCCAAACTTCTCTGTCACCTTAGCTCTGGGCCCAGAGGAAGAATTGAAAACATACTTTCCCTGAGGACCAGATGGCTTTCTGTTTCCTTTCACAGATGCACCTGCTCTCTGTCGTCCTGGCCTGTGCTTTACTACAATGAGGAGGATGAGTGGACAACAGCCAACTTGGAAGATTCTTATCTCGTGGGCACTGTAGCCAGACTTAGCACGTTTCCCTGCACCTGGGACAGGAAGTGCCGTTAGTGGACTTTGGGTCTCTGGAAGAGAGTGCCCTAGAGGGTATCATTGTGTGAAAAAGGGAACCTGTTGGGAAAAGGGGCAGACAGTCTGAAAATCTCTGAAATGCAAATTATCAACTCACGACTTGCATTTCTCTTAAAGCCTCATCAAGAGAGCAGTTAACTTGGATAAAGTCAAAGACATCTGTTGGAGGGACAGGAGTTTGCAGCAAAATCTGTGTTATCTAGGCTCCACTTCTTATTGCTGTGAGACTTGGGCAACTTACTCTGAGTCTGTTTTTACTTAGTCAGAATGGGGATAATAATCCTAATTATGGAGTTGTAAAGATTAAGTGAGATGGTGTACTGAAAAGGCTTTTGGTAAAGGCCCACGTTTTTTC